TGTGGTATTATCAGCACAGATTATTATCAGCACTGGGTTTAGTGGAGGGAAGAGTAACAAACTTAGTAACAAGGTATTTCTTTAACCCTTTGGAATTGTACTAGTGAAGAGAATAAAGATGATAATGAATATTTGGATTTTAATATTTTATGTAGTCATACACAGCTTGATTTAAAGTTCAGTCTAATCTCAATAAAATTGTAGACTGAGCCCTTGAAAATAAAATGAAATGAATCTGCTTTAGGCAGCATTTTTACAATTGACATCTTAATGAGCTGTGAAAGGAAGTTTATAGCATCCTGATTAAATTTGCAGTGGACATTAGGTGTTATGAATGCTTGTAATTACAAGAAAAATTCAAAGGGCTAATCGAATAATTTAAAAATAACGTGAAATTATTTATAAAACAGTATTTCACAGAGGAAAGTCGAGTTAACTTATGGCTGAAGGAACTGCCAATAGCCAAAGCTGGAGCACTGAGCTACAAAAGAAGTAAAGTACTGGATTGTAAATAAAATGTTCATGAGCACATGCCATGGTTAGTGAACATGTACCGATGGAATGAATGAATGAAAAAGATCTCATGTAGAATTCCAAATAGTTTATGTAGTCAGTCAACTTGCCCCTTTGACATATTCATATCAGTATTTAAAAATATGTTCTGGCATTGAAAGATATTCTGAGCTCTACTTGTGTATTTCCTGCCTCATCCTATAATCAGCCATTTCTGCAAAGAGCTTTTTGTTTGGAAATAAGACCTAGGTTGTAGGTGTGCTTGTTGCCACTGGTGTACTGATTCTTCTAGGCCCTCTCAGCTGATAGAACAAGGAGAAATATGTGTATACTAGGCTATATATACATCTCATTGTAACCATCTCTGTATTAAGCTAAACACGAGTTCATACTGGTAATTCCAACTATAATCTATTACCATAGTCTAGTCTCTACCCATTGCCTATTTGTAGCCTCTCATTGCAACAGATGTGTGTATGTGTGTGTCTTTCTTGTGC